TTCAATAGATAAACAAGATTACACTGTATAGCACAGGGAAATATACACAAAATGTTATGATAAATCACAGAGAAAAAAATGTGACAATGAGTGTGTATATGTGCATGAATGACTGAAAAATTGTGCTGAACACTGGAATTTGACACAACACTGTAAAATGATTATGAATCAATAAAAAATGTAAAAAAAAAAAGAAAGAAAGAGGCAGTGATAGTAAGAGCATCTCTTAGCTATTACTTTGTGTCACTCACACTTCTAATTTTCTCTGATTTTAGTTCCTTGCTTTCCATCTTCACCACCAATACTTTCATTCAACACACCAACGAAAGTCTCCTAACCACACACCAAGAGTCCCTCCACTTTAGAATAACCTCCCACTGATAGTAATGAGCTTCTTAAAATATATATTTGATTCTATGACTTCACAATTTACAAATTTCAATGTCTTTTTCCCAACGTCTTCAAAAGAACAAAACTCCTTAGCAAGATACAGTCAGTCACAATCAGGCTCCCAATTTCCTCCAATCTTTCTTCCATGCAAACTACATTCCACCTGAATCTAAATTTCCTCTGCTTTCTAAACATCCTGTCTCCTTTTACATGCTCACAGCCTTTGCCTGCCATCAAGAAGGCCCCAAAAGAGCTAAATTTTTCTTAATTTATACAAATATTAATCCTCAAACTCATTCACACACAGCTCAATGCTTAATTCTAATAATATGTCTCTATTTCCTATTCTTCATCCATACAAAATTAAAAACAGAAAACCAGAAATTGGGGTAAAGGGTATATGACAGCACTGATAGTAGTTAGAAGTAAACACTAAGAGTAAGAATGAGGTGGACACAAACTATTACCAAAACAAACAAACAAACAAAAACAAAAACTACAACAAGCAAGGCAACAAAGGATAAACCTCTCTTTTCCCCCTTCAATAGCCTGAGTGCTGGGGCAAAGGATACAGTATATAAGGTGTATCTACAATTTCTCCTGATAAAGGGTCAAGTATTCTTAAGGATCACGCTTAGTTGTCAAGAACTGATTAAATTTCAGGTAGTACATGCTGTTAAACAGGAAGATATTTGCCAGACAGACTGCTGCCAACAATGGTTAAGACTGAAAATATAGGGTATAAAAGGAGCTAATAACAAAGAGCTTGAAAAATATACTTTTCTGGAATAGTTCAGTCACTAAAAATGCTAAATCAAAGAAGGTGCTATTACATCTTATACAAAATTAAGAAAAACATACAAGTAAATAAGTAAGCTCATTCAGACATTAGAAGTATAAAGTATATTCAATTATTCCAGTGATATACTGTCAATCAAATAAGAAATTCAGTGGTTTTCATAATTTATATGTATGAAATCAAAAAGCCATTTGTTTTGAAAGAATAAAATTCTTCACTATGGTGTTCTGAAAAACTACAGAAAAGATAACACAGAAATTAATATCCACACATGCAACACCTACCTTTCCCACCTTGGTTCATGGCACCAGTGTCTCGTCCACACTGTCCTTTATTATTTACACCAAATGTCCAGACTTCTCCATTCTTCATTAAAACACAAGTATGAGCTTTGCCCATAGCTACCTGAGTTACAAAATGGCCTTTCAAATCTGTTACCAAACCTACAGGAAAGATACAAATTTGGTAAGAAACAACAAAAAAAGCCTTTCTGAGCCTAGTAAATCATCAGTAATGGAAAGGGACCACTTCAACATAAAACTTTCCATTTCTGGGATAAAATAACCCAACAAAATGGGAAATAGTGGCCAAAAGATAGACAAGGTATCAGTAAATTAACTTTGTAATTTTGTAATAAGCCCTCAAAATCTTAAAATGTCATCTTCTAGACTAGGGACAAGGCTTTATTCTGGCATTAGCTCAAGCCTGCTTCTCCTGCATGCTTGCTCTAAGCGGTAGGACCACTCAACAGTTCTTAGAAAGGTCACTGTATCTCGAACTTTCCTGACCCAAGCCCAAAGGAGTCTATGAATCATGTACTTTACTTGCTTTGACCCGCCTCAGCGAAACAGAGTAGAAAACCTGCCAGAGTACTCTGAAATAACACTGTTTTTGTAGAAACCTGTGAGATTTCAAAAGCAGTATTTCTTAGGCTTTTTAAATCTACAATGTTTTTTCCATAATCCAATACATAGTTCCTAAACTTCACTTATTCATGAATTACTTTCATTATGCTTCCCATATCTTGGTGTCACCCATACTACCTTAGCATTTTTGCATCAATTTTAAATTGACTAAAGTATTTTTAACCTTATCCAGCAGTAATAACCATAGAAATCAGACTACTGAGTATTTCCAACATACGCTAAAATAAGAACATTTTTTTAAAAATTAAAGTATTTGTTTTACTTAGGTTACAAATAATATAATTCTCATATCACACTTTGGCAAAACTATTCTACATTATTAGCTCAGCTATCACCTCCTTAAGGTGACCTTTCCTTTCACCTTATACTAGCTTAGGTCTTTTGGTTAAGCATACCTCAAAAACTCCCACTTTTAGCATTTAGCATACTTGAAAAAGGTATGTTTATGTAGAAACAGTATTTATTATCATTAACAGTACTAGCTGACATGTCTTGAGCCCCATGTGCCAGGCTCTGTTCTAAGCATTTCATAAGCATTATCTCCTGTAATCTTACAAGGACCATATGAAGCAGGCAACTATCATTAGCTCCCTTTCACAGGTGGGAAAAAAATGAAAGTTAAGAAAAGCTCTGAAAAGTTAAGTAATTTAAGCTAGTTAGCCAAATAAAAAGTGACAGTACCAGGATCTGAGTCTATATCCAAAATCATTAGACCACAGTTATCTAACATTTAATTTCTATAATGCCCAACTATCTCTCAGAGCAACAAAAAGAAAAGGAAAATGTCTGTCTGGTCCACCAATCCCTGAGACCCTGTTATTCCTCAATAAATACACGTTGAATAAATGCACAAGTTTCCATCAGCCTCAGCCAAGAGGATATTTAGCGAGCAATACTTATATTAAATATTATCTTAAAAATATACATGAACTCATCCCCAAATTTTAATATACTCTGACAGTTGCAGTCAACTGAGATTAAACATTAGCACATTCAACCAACTCACAAGTCACCTAAGCACAGTTCAACTTAATAATGGGAGTGTCATAAATGTTCAACATACGTGATTTCCTCAGCATGAGACAATCGCTTAAACTTTTAATCAGAAACTTCATTAATTCTGGTTCCTTTTCTACAAAGAAATTGATGGGCTTTACATACTTACTTCATAAAAAAACCCTTCTAATTGGGTTTCTACAATCATTGTACTCATTTCTAAATGCTAGAAAGAAAATTTAGCAGCCAAATATGACAAGTTTTTGAGATTAGAGTTTATAAATATAAAATTCTTTATTTGGCTAGTTCTATCCCTCACATCCACTACTTACATGTGTAGTTATCAGTCACTGAGTCACACTTAACAGGTAATTCTTGAGATTCTGACCACGCAACAGGCACTGTGTTGGGCACTGGAGATGTAACAGTAAATAAGAGAGAAAGCCCTTCTCTAACCACCTAACAACAGGGGGAGATAATTAATTCATCAATTATAAAAATGCTAAATTACGAAAATCATGTCCTCAGGGTACCACCAGGAATATGTCACATGAGCATCTAACAGAGCCTAGGGAAAGCCTTCCAGAGAAAGGAACAGCTAAGGCAGAACTGCACTGGCCAAGCCCCATGATTATCTTTGCAGGAAACTAGTGACAGTGTTCCCAGCAGGAGACAGGAAGGAATAACTAAATGTTGTAATTAGAAAGATATATGGAAAAATGTAGAGAAAGCATGCTACAAATGTTAATTTTCTAGATGTACCTTTCCAACACATAAAGTTTCATACTAGACTTTCTGTGCCTAAAAGTGAAATGGTTTTTAACTTACTTGAACTATCAGAGTAAATGGCATCTTTTCCAAACATGTACAGCTCTCCATCTTTAGAAATAACAGAACTACTTCCATTGTTGCAGGCTGTATACACCACAATCTTTCCTTCCATCTTAATTATCTTTTTAGGTTTATAAGGTTTCGACTGACGTCTGCTCTTAGCTTAAAAACAAAATTTAATTTAAGGCACCTATGCACAAACAGAAATAACGATTTATATACAAAACCTAAGGAAAAAATACATCAATTGCATTTATGATACTGTTGATTGACTGATTGATTATTTATTTTCACAAAGGTCTGGGCTTCCCAACATATCAATTAAATGAGTCAACCTCAAAGACTCATCTGGCTAATTAATATGCAGGCTATCACTATCAAATCCTCTTCTTTGTAGAGCACTGAAATACCCAATGGGAAATCAACAGTCTTCTACCAAACTCTTGGGGAGCCCAATCTCTAGATTAACTACTTACATTATCAACACCATTCCAGTGTCATGTATGTATTTAAAAAAAATTCCTTTCCTCTCAAACTATACCTCACATGTATTCCTATGTTAGATCCTGTGAAGTAAAATTAGCTTCTCACTCATTCAACACATATTAAGTGACAGTCAGAGACTGTAAGGAAAGGAAATGCATACATGGAGAGACAGCAAATAAATTTAAACGTAGCTAATTTAAGCATTTTCTGCTCTGAAAAACTAAATCCCTGAAATGTGCAAAAGATGGGAAATATCAATCTTCCATTTCCTTAGCCAACTTAATGTTTGCATGTTCTTATGAATAAAAACATACTGCTGTATTGGGTACAATTCTGGGACTTAAAATACCATTACATTTTTTCATATAACATGTATATATAGCAACTAAGTTACCTGGTGCTCAAACAAAGGAATAACAATGTCCTCCAAATGCTAAAAGTGAAAACTGGCTGGACTGAAGTTTCTGAGATATGGTAATATATTTCATGGCTACTTTACGGGATTTTTTTTTCCTCAGAATCACTTTTATTTATACATGATTTCTACATTAGATGTTGACTTCAAACCTAATCCTCATAAGATGCTACCCCAACTGCTACAATGTATAACATACCAGAGAAGTTACAAAAAGAGAAAAATGACACTTTGAGGAAGACTGAACAGAAGTATAGAAAAGATAAGAGATAAAACTGACTATTATTTCATCGCTTAGGAATGCTTCCATCATAGAGAAATAACACCAAGAACAAAGTTCCACTAACTGACACTATTACACAATTTACATAAAGTTTATTTCATTCTGAAATATATATTCCTTCCAAAATTTTGGATTACCTAAAATAATATATTGGAATGAGTTTTTTAAAAAAATAACACCGACTGGCAAAACAAATGAATAGCCATGTATGCATAAAGCATATAAAAATTCATGAATATGAACTTTAGTATGAAATCAGCACAGTTCTTTAATGAAGAGTACACCACAACCATTAACTGAATATTCCCCAATATAAAATCTATTAACTTGGGGAGGTTAGCACTGTTGAAATTGATACACCTTATGTTAATAAATTCTACACTATTCTTATTGAATAGTCAACTTACTTGACTCTCCGTCTTCTCCTTTACTAGCAGATCCTGTAAAGAATATGCTTCCGTCTTCTGCAACTAAAAGGGCATGAGAGCCATCGTGTCCAACTGAGAAGTGTACAATCTTTGGAGATTTCGTAATTGGTAGCTCAACCCACTTTCCTGCTGAAGGTCCGCCTTGTTTGATTCCAAGACTCTGGTATTTGCCAGTGTAATATATCTTATATATATTTAAAAAAAGGGAAGGAATTAAAGTATCTTTTGGAGTAGTGCACCAGGTTTCACATCACAGGAAAAAAAAAAAAAGACTTCCATATTTTATTGAAAAACAAAAATAGTAAGAACCCAAGCTCCTTTTTAATACTATTCAACTTCTGAGAGCTGAGCAGGAGAGAAATAAGCATATTTTTTCAAAAATACATAGCTCATAGTATTTTTTTCATATCTACTCAGGATATTTATAACTTTTCATAAGCACCCTGAGTAGATATATTTCTATCTTGAAATACTAAATATATTCAGAAATATATTTCATAAATATACTCCAACACACAACAGCTGGAAATTCAAAAAATTCTCAATTCATTTTGCCCAGAGTAAAAAGCCTTACATACAAATATATTGGATTTCCCTCATAATTTTAATTTTTAGCATTATTTTAATTATCTTACTTTATCTTCATACCCACAAGGTAAGAAAGAAGTTTCCATCTCTATGGATAGACTTCCATAATCTATAGCTTAATTTTAAACGCTCCTACTGCCCCCAGTTTGCAGCCCGTATGTCTGCACATTTACAAAAATTTGCAATGTATATTCCATTCATCAAAATAAACACAAAACGTCAATTCACTTCAACTCAAAAATTATAAAGAGAGCTCCATAATAAAGTTAAACATCTGTAAAAAATGTTATATTTTATAAAGTTTATAAAGTTTTATACTCTTAAATCTCATAATTTTCTTTTATGCTATTTCAACATGAACAAAACTGAATTATATTAAAAATTAAATCAAACATGTGAACTACGTAAGCTAATCAACTGATTGTACCAACTATCTCTTAAAGCAGATGTTAACTTTTAATTCTAAAGAGTAACTTACCTTTCCATTTGCTGTTTTCATTAGTGCAAACTCTCGTCCTGCACCAAGAATTGCTGATTCCTCATCAAATCCTGTACCTGATAATACAACAAGACTAATAAGTACTATTATATTTTAATACTAGTAATTTCAAGCACAACTTGTAGTATTTTGAGTAATGACCAAGTCAATTCAATTAACACCACTCAAAAACAAAAATGATACAATATGCCATGCGGTCAATTAAAAAAAAAAATCTATTACAGTAGCTACACTACTGAAAGGAAAGATAGTCAGCATAAGCTTAATTTCTTTCAAATTAGTGCCAAATTAGTTTTTTAAGTATGAAAAAAAATTGTTTAGATCCACGTCAGCAATATTCCTTGAATTAATGAACGATTAAATTTTTATTGGGCATTGTGTAGCTGTCAGATGGCGTTACAGAATGCATGAACTTTTTCCTATTTGATCCTCACAAATCTACTGCCTGGTTTGCAAATGAACAAATATAAAGCTTGGTGAGGTTAAGTCTCAACACAGAGTCACTTAGGCTTGAACAATGCCATACAAATATTTGAATTAAGGTATTTCAGATTCTCTGTTCCATGTTTTTTTCCTACAGAAGAACACTTCATATAGTTACTCCATGAATTTGAATATATATACATAGATCCTTATGCATAATTTCAAAATGTGAAACAAGTGAATAATTATATATAGCACATTTTATGAGTTTGTCCGACTGTACAAACTACTAATGAGTTTACAGGAGTTTTAAATTTAAAAACTATTAAGTTCAATCCAGTATTTTTCTATTAAAAAGAACAAAAATACTACATAATTAAATAAAATACACAAAGTAAATCACTAATGTCAAGTTTAATAAATTTAATGAGATAGCAGTCCAAAAGGTGAGTCTTGCAAAGATTCCCACAAGTTAAGAAATGGGACTGTTAAACCAGGAATAGTAAGGCAAACCAAAATTGAGACCCTCCCGGGAACTTGTAATCCTGTCTACTACTACGACACTGCAATAGTAATTATACTAGGTCCACAAAATACTCTGTGGACATCTGTATTTCAGAATCCAAATGAAAGATTATTAAATCAATTTGTTAAGCTAATTGTCATTTTCACTATCTATGAGATAACTCTATGGCTATCCTGAAAATCTGTTCAAATAAAATTAAAGGCTCCAGTGAGAAAACTATTTATATATTGGAGTAACATTTACAATAGAAATTCTCATAATTTTAAATAATTGAATAAAGATGGAGCATATAAACTAATGATGTTCCCAAATGTTGTCTATCTATAATTCTTATCAAAGTTTATTTTCTTTTGCTCAATTCAAAATGAAAATGAAAAATTATTAGAATATCTCTAGCTAACGGCCATATTTCTTAGTTACTTATACCTATTAACTCTTAAGTGTGCTTTAAAGTAACAGATAGCAAGACAGCTACCTAACAAGCTACACTGCTGAAAGTACAATGTTAGTCTTCAAGAGAATAAAGAATCTTAAAATTAAAATATGGGAGAGAGGCTTATTTGACCATCTTACTTATAATATGCAAGTCCTTTTCCAGGTCAAACAGTGAGATACCACAGGCATGTAAGCATTTTCTGGCCAGTTTAAGTTGTAATTCTTGTTGTAGCACAGGCTCAGTGCTTGTGGCAAATATTCTGACAACAAAGCCATCCTAAAAGAAAGAAAACATCCACAGTATTATGTTGCATGAATCGGTCTTTTAAGGCTCTATATTCCATCTATTAAAAATCAAATAACTTATGAGAAAAGGATTCCATTTATACCAGCTACTCATGACTCAGAATACTCACATCTCTTGAAGCAGCTATCTGATTAATATATTCTCCATCAGTGAATAAAATATTTTGACCTTCAGTGTGGCAATCTGTACAAGAGGAAGAAAAAGTAATTACTTTACAATATAAATAAATATCTCACAAAATGACTTTACTCCTCTGTTGAAGTCAGAATGAAAGTTTTCCACATAATAAGGATAAACTTAAACTCAAATGGAGACTGTGCTTTTTAATAAAGAGTTACAAATTAGCAGAAATTAAATAATTCAACTAATAATACTTATTACATTTTGTGCTTACATTTCTAAATCTTCCATGATCAAGGACCTAAGAGCCCACATAATTTCAAAATGAATTAGTATTCAATACATTCTGATAATAAACATGCACCACGATGAACAAAACTATAATGCTGGTTATAATCATTTCAATACAGTCACATGCAATGTAGGCAACACTCTATCTTCAGACATACATCACAGTCATTAGTGTCACAGAAAAATACAAATAGACCTAAAGCTTCTGCATTTGAGGTCTACAGTGTCCAACTACAGATATCCCTTGCTTTATAAAACAGAACTGAGTGTACAGTTTTCACTTAAGTTTAATGCCTATTCCCAGTATTTTTAGCTTTTAGTGTGCCATACACTTTGAAAATGTTCATCCTTCATAGAATATATAAATCTATGCTTACGTGTTTCTTTTTGTCTGAAAGTGCTTATATATTTTGGTTGGAATGCCATGCTTTCTCAAGACTGTATGTTTATTTGCGAAACAGTGAACTACATACTTGGATCAAAATAATGCACAAGTACAATTATAACAAGGGATACCAGTATTACAGAAGGACCACTGGGACATGTGTTAGTGACTGCTACAAAATAACATAAAACTACAAGCAAAATCAACATCTAACTATAAATTGTATTCTTTTGGAAAAACAAATGTCCAGCAAGCAAGTATAAAAGCACACACACTTCCCCAAATAACTGTAGAGAACTAGGATGAACCTCTCCATTAATTACAACACCAAAAAAATAATATTTCATTTCTAGTTGCACCTGAATCAACAAAACACAAAATTCTAGTTTTGGAATGCAGTAATGGAGCCCACCCAAATAAGCTGGATTACTCTGTATCTTTGCCCAGGAGCTTCATACTAGCATACTTCCTTATTACAAATATGCAAAACACAGGCAGACCCTTACCAAATAGAGAATTCAGTGATCACAAACTGGAAATAGAAACTGGGAGACAAGGCCCACTGGTAGCCCAAGAGACTTGGTAATCAAAGAGAGGAGAAATCGAAAGAAAGAGTTCCTAGTCCACTGTACAGAATACAAAGAGGCGCAAGAAAGATGCTTCTCAAGCTCTAAGCAGTAAGATTTTAAACTAAAAAGCAAAGAAGAAAAACTCATTATAATCTCAGATAAATGCAGGGGTGAGGAGTGAAGCGGCGCAAGAAGAGGAGCAAAACTCCTCATGAGCTGAGGCAACCTGTCACCAGACACGGAGATTAAACGACATAGGATACAATATAAAAGGTATGCAACACATATTAAGGCTAAAATGACAATTAATAGGAAAAAAGTATGTCTTCAGTTCATCACTGCTGAACTGAAAATAACTTATTTATAAACTGGACTGTCAAGACAAGCTGGAACATGAAGCTCAAGGAATCATCAGATATCTGTCCATTTTAAACACAGTATCATCAGCATCGATAAACCTGACGGTTCACTTCTGCTCCTTCTTGATGGGAAAGCTACAGAGCAGAGTTGCTCCTAGCTAGGGGGAAAAAAAGTACTGTTAAAGAAACTGCCGTCCAGGTCAAAGAAAGGGAAAAATGACAAGAGGCTTTTAGGCTTGAGGGCAAGTCTTCCTCCTGCATGACTTCAAAGAGATTTTTTCTTTATCTTTTCTGTATCCGCCATGTAACATTTTAAGACAGTATCTTCAGGAAAATATCAAGAAATATCTGCTCATTCAGAAGAGATGGAACTGTCTTCACCAGCTTGGTTCATTCTTCACTGTGAATATGGTACATATTTGTGAAACACAGAAAGCCACACTCGTATTGTTAGAAGTTGCATTTTATAATATTAAGTGATGTAGAGGGATTTAAACTGAGTAAGAACATTAAGTCATATTTTATTGTGGTAAAATAAATAAAACAGCTTTAGGTAGACCATTTCCAAATGGTCTTTCTCAGCCACAATCTCTCTTAAATGATCTGGGTTTTTCAGAAGTAAATCCTTTACATTAGTATCCATCTGCTGGGGAGCGGGGCTTAAGAATTTCTTCTTCCAAGACATCCGAAAATGACGTGCACAAAGACAGAGTGATAGGGATACTTACTGCAAATTTACATTGCAAAAAACTGGAAGAGACTGCCATTCCAATATACTAACCAATGGAATATATTTTATAACATTAAAATTATGTTACAGAAGACTATTTAACAACCTGGAAACATATTCAGAATATTAAGTAAAAGGGATAGGTTAAAAAAGCAATATGTAGCAATATGATGACATTCATACAAGTATATATATAATAGACGTAGACAAAAGAAAGGACATTCATCAACATGTTAATTGTATTTATAGATGAGAGGTGGGGACAATTAATTAATTTTGATTTTGTTTTGCTTACATAATACTTTTACAATAAATATTTTTACTTTTAATGTATGTATATATATGGGGG